ACAAAAAAAAAAAAAAAAAAAAAAAAAGAAAGAAAAGAAGGTTGGTTCATATACTACACAGGTTGGGACGAAAGAAAAGAGCAGCCTGAGACCATGAAAAAGAACAGAGGAGGCAGTGAACAACAAAACTGACAGCATTCGTGCAGAACCAAAGGCACTGGAGAACATGATGTTGGCACAAAAGTCAAAGGATCAGAAGGCACTCACTACGGGGAAGCTAGAGTCCTTCTAGACAGTAAAGGCTGTTGCCATCAGAAAAAGAAATCAGAGTATCTGCCTCAGCTTCCACAGAAGCCAGGCCATGACAGGAAGCCTTGTGACTGCAGGGGCAGAAGTTCCAGCCCATGGAGACATCTAGGGAAGCCCAAGACGAGGAATCTCAGACTATCTTTGGAAAAGCAAGTACACTCAGGTGACTCACTGCCCCAGCCAGAACTCACACAGGAGCCGGGGAGGAGGGGGGACGACAGTGCAGAGACTGCACTGTAAGGTGCACAGTAAGCTGCCCAAGGTCACACCAAAGCTCATGCAGAGCAAGACCAACAGCCAGTCCTCTCCCTTCATACATATCACACAAAGTTCTTCACTGAAGTGGCTCACCACACAGGCTGAACACGGCACAGCTGCTTCCACCGAACCCCTCAAAATGACTCTCTCCTGTCCCCAGTGCTCCTTCCATGCCCAAGGAGGCTAATAAAGCTGACAGACTCCCCGTGAGCAGGACGAGCCCTAGGACTGACCAAACATCTGTGCTGATGGTGTTCCAGCTCTAGTAAAGAAAGGCAGAGGCAGCAGTCAGGAGGAAAGAGCAGAGATACATTCAAGAAGTTCTCACTAATCTGCCTGTTATTTCTTATGCACACATTCTCCAGTAGGGCAGAGGGCAGAGAGCAATCCCAAGCTGCCCCATCCACTGACCCTTTCTCCAGAAAACAACTTCACCAAAGACGAGGCTCCGCTGTCTCCCTTTGCCCCTTCCAATCCTGGAGCCTGGGAGCATGTGGTCAGCCTGCTCCTTGCCTGGGGCACCGAAATCCCTCAAAAGCAGCAGCCGGACACCCGATGGCAGCATGCCCCCAGCTCTGCTTGGGACAGAGGTGCCTCCCCTGGGAGTCACCAAAGGTGTGCACGTGAGACCTCTATACTCTGCCATCCAGCCCATCAAAGGCCGCAGATTACAATAGGGGAAGAAACGCAGGGCACCATCCTCACATGCGTCCTCGGCCAGCGCAGGTTCACAGCTGTTACAGATCCTGACCCCACACTATTGCTGCAGGCTGCCCAGGCCGAGGCACTTCCTGGTTTGCTAAATGGGGGAGAAGGTGGTGACAAACTCTGCCATCCTTCCAAGAGTAGGGCAAGTCTCTCCTGGAAGACAAGCAAGTTGGAGCCTCCTTTCAGCCACAGAGGGAAGGGAGAGAGACAAGAGATGCAATAAAAGGGGTGGGAGACTAGTGAAAAAAAAAAAAGCACTTACCGCTGTGCAGAGCAGGGAGCAGTGCAGCACAAGGACAGAGGGAACTGAGCGGGTATTCAGGCTACTCCTCTGGAGAGGAGGGCAGAGGGGGACTGACAAAAGGACTTACCCAGAATATTAAATTGAAGAGGAACATCATGTACTTCAAGCAGCAGAGGCAGCCCCTGGCCATGTTGCACTTCTTAAATTCTAGAAGGAACACAAAGGACAGGTCCAGGTAAAACACCACGTACTTGCTGCCTTTGGGTGCATTGTACTTGTCGGTTTTCACACCGGCTTCGGCGCGACTCTGGCCCCGGGAGCCCGTGGTGCCGTAGAAGGCGCCAGCAGTGAAGCCACGGCCGAACGGGTGGCCCGAAGTGGATGGCTTGGCGAAGTCCGAGTCCTTGCTGTCCAAAGATGGACTCCGATGAATCGAAGAGTCCTCACTACTCGACTTCTCCATGCTCTAGTCGTTGTCGGGGGATGCGGGGGGCGGGGGGCATCGCTCCCGGGTGGGGCAGTAGGGACACCCGAGGGGGGGCGGGGG